AGATCTGGGTGAGGCCACGGGGGTCTTTGAGGGACATGGGAGAGTCACTGCACAGGCTCCTCTGCTCCAGGGAAGCCTGGCGGTGACATGGCTAAGCCAGGCGCTGACCCGGGACGCGGCAGTCCTGGCTCTTCTGCAGCCTGGCCGAGTCTTTGGGCGAGTGCATGAACTTCCCTCCTGCGTGCAAAACCCAAGACCTGTCTGCCTGCCCCACCACTGCTGCCTTCTCCCACCCTCCCCTGGCTAGTCGGCCCGGGGTCAGAGACCACCTGGCACGCGGGGGCCCTGCCCTCGCTCGAGTGCTCTCGGGGCTGCTGACACACATCATTCAGGGCCCAACCTGCCCAGTCTCCCCTGCAACTGCCGTCACCTTTCTGGCCACAGGCCCAGCTCAGGCACCCAGGACTGACCTAGGGCTGCCCCAGGACACGCAGAGGATGATACTTTTCACCCAGGGTCCAGACTGTGAGCAGCAGAGCTGGGCAGGAGCTTCAGCCGCTCGGAGCGAGTCCCACCTTGGCCGTCGTGACGGCAGGGCTTGGGAAACTGCGGTACCCGGACTCTGACTAGCTTGGGGCTGGCCCTGCAAAGCTCGGCCGCCTGCGAGGAGGGAGAGCGGCGCGCCTGGGTCTTGGCTGCCCGGCTGCATCAACGCTGCTGGGGTGGTGAAGGACGCGCTCCCTGTTCCCAGCTGCAGACATCAGGCCCAGCCACCCAGATTGCACCTTCCCATGGACCAGGGGGATGAAGCAGCCTGCCATGGCCTGGCTGACAGTCCCAGTGCTCCAGCAGGTGATGGAGAGCAGCTCATGCCCCAGTTGGGGGTGGAGGGGGTGGTCCAAGGCCAACGAAAACCGGCTAAAAATTAACATTAATTTATTAGAATATTCATGAAAAAAGATTCTCTTTACATGTGTTTTTTATACAAGAGAGAATTTTCATTGCTTGATTATTCCTCCCGGAAACAGCATCGTACACAGGCACACGCACACACGGACAGCCAGGGGACCGCGGGCTCTCGGCCTCTGCTCGTGCCGGCAGCTGCAAAGAGCCCTGCGGTGAATAGAGATATTGCACGATTTGAGTCGGGGGCCGGGCTGCCCCCAGGCCCCTCTGCCCTGTCCCTGTGGACGGCTTGGGCTGCGACGGGCATGTGGGAGGGTGGCTATTCAGAGGGCAGGGTGGATTCGCACACAGAGCAGGCCTGGGCCCGGGCAGAGGCGCCAGGCAGGCCGACAACGTCACAGGCACGCACAGAGCGCTTGCGAAAGGCAGAGAGGCTCAGACGACGCTAGTCACGCAAGCAGACACTGCATGGCAGAAAGGCACAGCATGGGGCAGGGCGGGGGGCACTCGTCAGAGGAGGCCGCAGGGGCGGGGAGGGTCCCCGAACCACGGGAGCAGCTGGCTAGGTGACGCACACCCTGTAGATCGCGAGAGCCTCCTGCCTGCACAGCTCTCCCCTCCACCCCCAGGCCTCCCCCATCCCGCACACAGGCACCCTGTGGAGCAGCCCCATGCAGGGCAGCCCATGGGATCCCTCCTAGCCCAGAGGACCTGGAGCCCATCTTTGATTAAAAAGGGAGGGGGTGGGGGGGCAGGAGGAGCAAAGCTTGGCAGCCCAAGAGAATAGCAAGTGCCGGAAATCCAGGCACCCCGTGCAAGAAGAGCAGACCTAGGGCGAGCCCAAGGCAGGGGGATAGGACGGAGTCTAGCAGGGGTGGGGAGCAGGGCCAAGGGCAGGAGGCAGCACTGGAGCATGAGTGTGATCAGGATGCCCAGAGGGGAAGGCTGGACAGCACAGTCACCATTGCAGTGAGAGCCTAAGGCCCCGATTCTGCTCCTCCTGAACTCAAACCTACCTCTTTTGGAGTTAAAGGCCATTAAAGCTTAGCATCGAGGACTGAGCAGTACAGGCCAGGGCGGGGGCAGTGCCACAGCAGGCAGGGTGCCGGGTTGGCCACCCCCAAGGCTCCCCCATGCCCACAAAGCCCCCGTTTAAGGAAAGATATGAAGTATGCAGTATAAAGACAAAGCCAGAAGCAGTCCCAGCCTCTGCAATCTCCTCCCTGTGATATACAGTGACCCTCACAGCCGTCTTTGGTTAAGAAATGTTCGTGGATTTACCCGGTATGTGGAGATCCATCTGTGGGTGGGTGATTAAAAGAAGGTAGGGAGCGTGAGTCCAGAGAAGTCCCCGCCCTGCCATGACCATGCTGGGACACGGCCCCAGCGTGGCCCGCAGGGGCTGGGGTCCTGCAGCAGGCTCCCTGCTCACGCGCCTATCCCTACAGGGTCCGAGCGAGGACAAAGTGCACAGAGACCTCCAAAAGCCACAACAGAAGCAGAGCACCACCCCCCAGCTATGGCTATACTGCTCTCAATCCACCCCCAACCCCAGCAAGAGTCCCACGCGCTGCATTCGCTCCAACACTGAACAAGGAGACACTTAAAAACCTGGCTGTCCGGGCGGGAGCCAAGCGGACGGAGGACCCCAACAGCACAGGATGACGACGCAGAGCTGAGCCAGGCCAGGGTGGAGGGATGTCCGGGTGCTGCTGAGGCTGCTGGAGGGTGGCAGCCTGGCGAACCTTGTTGCGGGGTTTCAGTCCCTGTGCTGGGGGCAGTGCCAGCCTCGGTGGCCAGATGGAGAGCAGGGATGCTGTAGCTTGTGGCGGGGATGAGCAAGGCTTGGCGGAGGCGAAGCTGCACTGTGCTGGGAGCAGAGGGCACCGCGAGGGACCAGGCCAGAGCCCGTCTTCCTGTCCGCCAGCGCCGTGAGGGGGTGCCCCAAGCACACGCGTTGCCACCGCAGGTCCTGAGTCGGCGAGGGCCGGGGCTGCAGCTGAGGCAGGGTGAACAGACACGGAGCTGCCCTCGGGCAGGAGGCGCCTGCAGGCTACACAGGCTCCTGCAACGCAGGACGCAGCCCAGGGAAGCTGTAGAACCAGGCTACAATGGAGGGGCCCCCTCCCACGGGGGTCTCCTCTTCCTCCTTGTCCACAGTGCCCCCCCCAGCCTGAAACCCAGCACCCAGGGGCAGGGGAACCCGGGGAAAGAGACAATCCACACGTATGCAACGGCACCCCTCCAGGCCGGATCCGGCTGCATGCCCACTGCTACTGCCCCTTGGGGATGAAGGGCTCCCCCTCCTCCGGCTCCGGCCGAGGCCCGGGGTCGCTCAGGCACCGCAGCATCCGCTGGTTGCTGGGGCTGTCACTGGTCCCCGGGGTGAAGACGTCGTCCGTGCCCGGGGAGGACGGCTCCTTGACCCGCATCACAAGGCCCTCCTCATCCTCCTCGGGTGATGGCGGCAGGCGGCTCATGCCCTTCATCTCCTCGTTCACCAGGTCGACTGACTCCGGGGACTGGGGCGATGCAGGGTCAATGGTGATGATGGGGAGGTTCTCCGAGTCCGGCTTGGGCTCGTAGGCCATTGGGTCTGCAGGGACAGGCACAGACAGCTGCCTCAGCACAGCATGGAGCTGCGCCCAGGGCCTCTGCTCACACAGTGCCCTGGGGAGCTGGGGGGGTTACCACCCACAGATGGACGGGGAAGTGACCTGAAGGGTCTAGTGGCTACAGAGGGAAATTATGGAAGAGGGCAGTCAGGAGTCTTGGGTTCTCCTCCCAGCTCTAGGAGACAATACACCCCGACCAGTGCTTCTCTACCCTTTATAGGCTCAAAGCTCCCCTTGTCAGACTCCAGGCCCCCCTTAGAAAATGCCAGCTCTCTACCGGCACTCATTGTTTGACTATGGAAAAGAGAGCGGAGCAGTTCTTCTGTTGCAAAGAGCACAGCGAGCCCACGACAGGGCAACATGTCGGTGACCCTCTGGATTCCTACTTGAAATGACTGGGCTGATCTTATGAATCACGTGTTGGTGTCTGCACACCTGACATCGCCCTGCGGCACCCTTGAAAGGATCCTGTGGCAGGTTTGAGAGGCACTTGGTGCTCAAGTTTTCATGCTCACAACTTCACACCCACGCCAGGACAATTTGCTTGCTAGATATCAGGAAAAACTTCATGGTAAGG